ACTGTACTCACATACGAGTAAAGAAAGTGAATGCTGATGGGGGTCAGTTATATATTAATAGAAAAGGATTTTCTTCAATTAATGTACAGGTAATATACAAATATTTTAAATAGCTGTGATTGTCTCTTAATAACTTTACTTTATCATAATAGAAAATAATTTGTTTGACTATCTTATGGTAATAAATATATATTAAAATAAACCAGAAAAACATAAAGTACTAATGAGCTCTTATTTTACAGGTGGTTTGTGACGCTGACCTGAAAATCATGGACATTGTTACCAGGTGGCGTGGTAGTGTACATGACTCCAGAATATTCCGAGAATGTAGACTAAAACAGAGGTTTGAGGCTGGTGCATTCTCTGGAATATTACTTGGTGACAGTGGCTATCCTTGTACCCCTTACCTATTTACACCGCTGCTGAACCCCACAACACCACAAGAAGAAAGATATAATAGGAGCCATATCCGTACCAGGAACACAGTGGAAAGATGTTTTGGTTTGTGGAAGCAACGGTTTCGTTGCCTATTAAGAGGTATGTTTGGAGATATTGAAACAGCAAAAAAAACAATTGTTGCATGTGCTGTACTACACAATATGGCCATCGACATGAGAGAAGATGTGTTTTCTGGTGAGAGAGATAGCATTGAACAATATTCATCTGAACCTATAGTACAAAGATATATTGCACCATCAATAAGGGGAAATATTAGAAGAAGACAGTTTATTGAAACTCATTTTCAGTAGGTAAACATTTTTTTTTACATATTTATATAGCTATTTATAATTAAAATTAATAATTATATTTATAAAATTGTCAATTTTTTTTCAATTGTCTAAAGCTATGTATATATAATTTATTTTATTTTGTTATTCAGAGGCCAATTTTGGCTATAAAATTACATTAAGGATCAATAAATGTATAAGACAATTATAATAATATTTCTTTTTGATTTCAGAGATAATACCCATTTATAAAGGAAAATATTTCTGCAGAGCCGTTGTCAGCTGTCAAAGAATAACGACTACATATTCACCAATATGAAATAAATTCAGGGGAGTATTGTGATAATATTTCATTTATTGAGCAAAATGCTTTTATTTAGGCTATAAATGATTGTGTTTCAGGGAAAGATGCGGGGTACAGCACATTCCACATCAATATGAAGCTATATTATATAAAGATTTAAGTGCTTTAGAGATATGTTTAGATTTTTTAATAAATATCGTCCCTCCTCTACATTCACAGCCAGATTTCCTTTCCAGAGGTGCAAGGGTCCACGGGGAGTAGGACTGTATGATGACTAAGTAATTAGGTTTAGTTTTTTTTATTATAGTTTTTTACTATTGTATATTATATTTCATTGTTATGTAAATAAAATGCATATTAATTATAATTATTTATTTTAATTATTAATAAAAGATGTACAAATATTTGCAGCAATTTAGTACCTGAAAATAATTGTTTCATATATGAGGATATTTACAAACATGTATCTGATATAGTCTCAAATATTTAGTTTTTTTTATAGGATAATGGTGATAAACACAGTCTACCACACACACACATACACACACACAGTCCATCTGATGTTAAGTAACTGCTGTGGTGCATAGACGTCCACATCTATCCTCGACTACAAATCAAAATGCAGATGCGTTGTCACCCGTGTGGAGTAAGATGGAATGCCTCGTTTCCTGTAAAAGAGGTCTCTCTCATACAAACTTTGTACAAAAATTTATCGAAAATTTGTCAATAAACAAGTTTAAATGTTTTACTAAAGAAAAATTTTATAAAAAGGTTATTATAATATCAAAGAATACATAAATGAGAATATTGGAAATACTGGAATTGAGGTGATCGCCACCATGGTGGTTCTATTAAAATTCATTTAAAAATTGTACAAATAAAATTATTGTTAAGAGAAATATGTTTATAAAAAAGTCCCGCTGGGTTTCTTACTAGTATTTAGTCTTTCAATAAGTATTCTGTAATAATCTATATTTAATAAAAATCATTCTATTCTATTCTCATTCTATAAACTCACCATAATAAACACAGCAGCATTAAGTTGCTATTTAACTTGTGTTTTTCTGACTTTCTAATAAAAATATTTGTAACTCTAATTTTCTAATTTTTAGGTTAGCTATTTTAATATTGTATTTATGTTCCTCTTCCATCATTTCCAGTTGTCTTTTTTTAAAATCTGTGTTACTTTTTACAATTGTTTGGTGTACATCTTCTCTTCTGTAAAATGAAATGGAATACTTAATGTAAGTTTTGTAGTTATTTTAGAAATTTACAAAGTATTCTAGAGTAATAAAAGTGCACTTAACCTTGTACACCAATTAAAGAAATATTTTTTAATTATTTTTAAATCAATTCATATTAAACTTTGCTTTTAATATTTGAAAACATGAAACAATTTTCAGTGTTTAAATACTAATTTTCACATTTTAAAAAGTATGTAATGTATCAGACTATGTAATTTTTTCAACATACCTATTTTGCAAGCTATTTTTCCTGTTTTTAATTTTTGTTATACCCCTAGTAATAATATCTTTATTGTTGGTTATTTTCACCATTTTGGCACTTTCTTCTGTATCTGTAGTTGGATCTATCTCTAAAAATTAATATAAATATAACAGTTTTAGAAAATTAACATTTATAATATTTACAAACTTGTATGCATATGATTGTAACTATAATAATAATATATTTTGCTTTTTAATAAATATTCAATCAGTATTATTTACCTTGCACATATACAACATTGGGTTCTGGATTTTCTACATTTTTAACTATAGCTGTGTCTGTTTTTTCAAAATTAAGGCGAGGCTTAGGGTCAGCAACTTCTTTTGATGTTGTAGCCACAGTCACTGGATCCTAAAATAAATCATTAAAACATTTATTAACATGTTTTCCTGTCACCTGTCATCTCTATTTTGCCCTTTATTGAATCAGGTATTTTCTATGTTGTAGAAATATTATTATGATCCAAGACAAAAGGTAATTTAATAAATTATTAATTATAATACCTAATAGACAAAAATAGAAAATTATAATCGGACTGTGTAGATAATCTAGTAAAATGTGTGTTATGATATTATATAGACCACTATATATGAATTTGTGACATTTCAATTTTGAATATAATTAATTATAAAGAAATTTATGTTAAATTGTTACTAAGTATATTAAATTTTGAATATTCGGAAAATAATTTTGGATTGTAAATTGTATGCTTTAAGAGTAGATTTCAGAGCACTACTTAGGTACTAAAGTAATGGAAAATAAAGTTCTTTAATTTTAATTAAATTTGTAAGACATGTAAGTAATTTTATTTACCACTGCATCACTATCATAATTATTTACTTCAACGATAAAGTCGTGAGGGGCAATGGACATTATTTCCAAGTCCTCAAGAGAAGGTGATGGAGGTTTTCCGCCACCCCCGGTCTTTGATTGTTTCCTCCTATATGTGTATAAGTTTGATTTAGCACACAACTTCGTTCTTTTCCAAGATAATTTCAATTCACCATCTGATCGGCGTTTACCTGTTATCTCATTAAATCTAAAAAAAAATACGAAATCACGTAAACAATACCATACCTATTTGTACACATAACAAATGCGATAAGTACTTACTTATTAGTTATATTCTTCCACTCTTTTATTTTTTGAATATTTACCGATGTTTTTGTCGACTTATTCTCTATTATATGTGCTGATTGTGAAATAAGTGTACGTAATATTTCCTATAATAATAAGAACATTCCTTTTAGTTGAAATAAGGATAATAGGAGGATAAGAGTATTGCTACGTACTGACAAATTTCGATATTTCACTAACTTTTTCTTCAGAACTCCAATTTTCACCCCGTTTTTTCTTTTGTTCCATTATTATATAAATATAACTGTAATAGCAAGTACTTAATTAATTATTAATAATTTAATTTACTTATTATAAGGCTGCAATATAAACTATTTTGAACGTCTCAAATCCCGCGCTCGCGTTACCTCTGTAATTCACTACATTTCACGCTAGAGTTGTTAAACTGAAAACAACTTGATATAATCAAAAGCGCGTCAAAAGTATATGTCGTGCTTGTTCAATAGATTTTAACGTAAACAAATAACAATGTATGATATGTTTTTGTATTGATGGATAATTATTTAAGCATAATTAAATGTGAAAATAATATTAATATTTTATGAAACCGAACGTTGCATTGAATGAAACCTGTATGAACGAATGATAGAGTGTCATTTTTTGTTTTTTATCTGTGAATGATATTTAATATAATACTAACGTTGGTATTAACTGGTCCTCGGGTAGTCTGCGTTTTGTAATAAGCACACGTTTTAGTGCTGGTATTAACTAGAATATTGTAACAAACCTGGACTTCTTACTCCTAAACTTAACCCAGTACTAAAACATTTTTTTGGAATAAGACTGCTAGAGTTGCGATACTTAGGCAACAGTCGCTATTGTGTTTTTATAATATCTATGCTACCGAACGAATTTTCATGAAATTTTGTATCTACGCAGTAAATGACCGTGTCATAACATATAGGCAACTTTTTATCCGCTTACGGAAAAGTAAAAAATGGGTTATGTTTTGCCTTTTTTAATTTTTAATGTCATTATGTCAGTGGATAGTTATATTAGTCCTAAACAGGATTTAGCTATACGTACAATAAATCCATAGAAAAATGTGTGTGAAAATGAAACTCATCACGCCACCAGTTAGGGCAGAATAACGTCTGCCAGACCAGCTAGCAAATCAATAAAAATAAATTTAAGTTTAATGTATAATGTATGAAAATTACAATATTATGTGTATACACAAAATACTTTAGTCGGTAGCATCCTTTATAAATGCGGAAACCGCGTAAACAAACCATGAACTTTAGTGAACGTTATTTCAGTCCCAAAAACATCTGAACTACCCTCAAGTTACGCATGAAGTTTCAGTTCAAAAATCTTACTTCCAGGTCAATTAAACTGTCGTCTCCTCGTCTGAACAACATGACCCTGATTGGATGCGTACTGGTGTACACCGCGGTGGCTCTACTGGGAGTGGACAACGCTACGCTGCCTTCATATGTCCCCTTCTCTGCTATGTGCACTGTAAGTCTGTAACAGTAGCCATTTAAAAATAATAAAGTTACACGATATTTCTACGTGGTAGAGCCATGCTGCAGCTATATTATGGTTGTAGCACGAATGGATCGGCTCGACCGGGGAAGGACCACGCTTTCACAGAAAACAAGCGTAAAATAGCAGCTTAACGCTGCTGTGTTTCGTATGGTGAGTGTAGACAACCGGAGACCCTTTTTACTGGAAAAGATCTTAGTCCTCACGAGTGACAACGCATCTGCATCTTGAGTCTTTATTGAGGATAGATGTAGATGTCTATGGGTCACAGTAACCACTTACCATCAGGTGGACTATGTGCTCGTTTGTCACCCGATCCTATAAAAAAATATATATATCTTTATATATAAAAATTACGTGTCATGTTGTTTGTCCGTGATGAACTCCTAAACTACTGAACTGATTTCAATGAAATTTTGCACACTCTGTGCAATTTCGTCCAACTTGAGAGATAGGATAGTTTTTATCTTGATAAGTGACACTCAATATTTTTTTATTACGCATTTAAGGATTTTATATATGTCGTCGAAATCGAGAGTAAATAAGTAAGAGTCATCGAAATGGGCAGAACAAAGTCTGCCTGGCCAGCTAGTATACATATATATATCCCACAGCTGGGCACAGATATTATAAGATCTACATATCATCTAAGTTATATGTTTTATTCAGAAGTCAAAAGTCCACAATTTCATGGGTTTTAATTTTTTGCGCAGAATCCTAATTCTTTTTCAAAAATAAAAGTAGCCTATGTTACTCCTTGTGGCATCAGCTATCTGTCAAAGAAAATCCCGTCAAAATCGGTCCAGCCGTTTTGGAGATTAGCCGGAACAAACAGACAAACAGACAGACGGACAGACAGACAGACAAAAACTTTAAAAATTGTATTTTTGTTATTAGTACCGCATAATATACTTTCATATGCATTTAATAAAAAGTTGTAATTTTGCCATTACAAACAGACACTTCAATTTTATTTATTTGTATAGATTTGGCATAGTTGCCAAGTTTAGCGGGCAGCTTTTTTATTATTAATGATTTGTTTGCAAGAAGATGCTACTAACAATCTCATGTTTCAGTTTCCTTTCTCTTACAACACCCACGCGGTTATATGAAGTAGTGGATTCTTTAGCGACGCTATTTCACGGTGCAGTCAGTCTTAAAATATTTAGCATAGTCTATACTAGTAAGTACAGAAAATTCTGAGCTTCAAAACAAATTGGTATTGTAGAGTTATGAAATTGTTTAAAAGAAATTTAAACCGACAATCTATGGGAAAGCCGTATATACGAGTATGAATTTGTTATCGATTTTATGATTTGACATTGTTTACAAATTATTATCAATCAATAATTTTTTTTTTTTGATTAAGGTAGGTGAGGGTAATATGGTCATCTTAAGCTTTGCCGCCCTATAAAATTAAAACTAGGAAGAGGACAGGGATAAAAATACAAAGTCGTACACTATAACTAATATATTTAAAAAAAATGGCAAAAAGGCTTTGCCAATAATTAAGAACATTCCGAAAAATTAACTTAAAAAAACTAATTCCACTACACAATACTAAAATCGAATAAAATATTTACTATAATGTCAACTGTCAAAATGGCGTCGATAAAGCAGCGCCCTTTTGACCCTTTATTTTGCCTTTATTATTTGATTGACTGATGAAGAGCTATCGTATCAGAGAGCTATCTATGCAAACAAGGCTGTAGTTTTTGAGTTATAAGAAAGTGGCCATATTAACCGGATGACCATATTACCCTCACGTACTATATTTGTTGCAGGGCAGAGTGTACATTTTATCAGCAGGATTCTCACTCGCATTTGGATCCATGTTTGCGAAGACATATCGAGTTCATCGAATTTTCATAAGGCAAGTGAACTTCTTCTTTATTTCGATCGAACCACGTGGCAGATGTATGAAAGCTACAGCAGCTCGACGGGTCTTACAGAATACTAGCATACAATGGGTACTGATTGTTGTAGTATTAGAGACCGAAGTAATAGACCATCAAAGACCTTTGTTACTGGTAATGAGGCATTTCCCCTTAGAGCTCTGGGGTTAATCAATGGTAGGTACATGTCTAAGGGCCATCCATTTACTATTAAGTGAACTGCTTCCTCGTGCATCGCCCTTCTATCATAAAATCATATAACATCAAACGTCTCCTATAATACTCCACACCACTCTCTGCAATAATGGCGATTACAGTATCAGAGATCTCACACCACTCTCACACTTTTGGCGCTGCTACCCATTGCTAATCTGATTATCACCTGACGTAATCGGTATGTTTCCACCATTTGGCAGTCACTAAAGAGATTTGGCAGATGTATAATCACTACATTTAGTCTCGAATTCTGACTACGAACGGAAAATTTCACACTCAGTCACGTAAATATGTTAAGAGCAAAAAAGGTGGGTGAAAAATTTATAGTTATCAAAAACCAAAAAATTCCTTAATTGAGTGACGTTGGTGTATTTCATCATAATTATCATTACGGCCTTTCACAAGTCTACTGCTGAACATAGGCCTCCCCCAAGGAATGCCACAAAGCACGACCCTGAGCCATCTGCATCCATTGACTTCCTGCATGTCTTGCCAGGTCGTCACTCCATCTAGTGGGTAGTCGCCCTACACTTCGTCTACGGGTACGAGGCTGTCACTCGAGAATCTTTTTTTCCCATCGGTTGTCAGTTCTACGAGCTATATGGCCGGCCCCTTGCTACTTCAGCTTACTAATCTGTTGGGCTATGTCGGTCACTCTGGTTCTACTGCGGATATCCTCATTTCTAAGTTTATCACGCATAGAAACCACGAGTACCCATGTCCATTTGTAGCTATGGAAAATTAAAATTAATTAAAATCAAAACGCGATAAAATCCATAAAACAATCTTATAAGAGAGTTATATTACACAATTATTTCTCAACCTAGCCAATGGAAATACTTTTAATATTATCATAGAACTTCAATATTTTTCCAGTCAAATAATAATCTTATTTGTATATTTAAATTATTATTTTTTTTTAGAAAAAGGGTGACAAGCGAGCACACAGTCCACCTTTTGGTAAGTGGTTGCTGTGGTCCATAGACATCTACAGTTAACCTCGATTAAGAATGAAAATGCAAATACGTTGTCACCCCTGAGGACTAAGATGGAATGCATCGTTTCCAGTAATGAGGGTATCCGGTTCTCTACACGCAACTTACGAAACACATCAGCATTAAGCTGCTATTTTACGTTGGTATTCTATGAGAGCGCGGTCCTTCCCCGGTCGAGTCGACCCATTCGAGCTACAACTGCACTATTGATATAGCTGTAGCATGGATCTACAACGTATAAATATATATTCCCATCTCTGGGCAGGGGCTCCCCAGTGCCAGCTCCTTCCACTTGACTGCATCCAGCGCAGAGCGGCTCGAATCGCCGACTACTGAGTTCTTTCCGATCGGCTCGACTCATTGGCGCTGCGAAGAGATGTTGCATCTCTTTGCATTTTCTTTCGCATTTACCACGGGGAGTGCTTGAGGAATTGTTCGGATTAATCGCACATCGCGGCAGAACTCCCGATACCATCCACACCATTTGGCTACCTAAGTTCGATACCTGCCGGCATCGATGATATTGTTCTTCTTCCTGCCCTTATCTCAAGTTAGTTGGGTCCGGATTAGCATATCTTCCTCTTGCATTCTCCTCTATACTAGCCGTCATCTCTTCACTCACTCCTTTCTTACTCATATCATCCCTAATACGGTCTATAATCCATCTTTTCTTGGGCGTCCCTCTGCTCTTAAATCCATACACTCATAGCCAGGTACTGCAACTTAACTGCAATTTTAAGCACCGCTTTACCACTAGCTCGTCGGTGAAGAAAAACGTTGTAAGGAGACTTTCTGTACGAGAAATTAAAATAAAATATTTCGGTGACATGTGAACTCCGTCAATCAAAATTCATTGTGCAGTGTGGCGGACACTTCCTTTCCCTAAAACCCTCTCAGTAATGAGTGTAGGCCTGTGTCCAGCAGTAGTGCGTATATAGGCTCGTATATAGCCATAACTTTACTAACTTTGTACATGGTAGATCCATGCTGCAGCTATATTAATTGTATAGTTGTAGCACGAATGGGTCGGCTCGACCGCGGAAGGACCACGTTCTCACAGAATACCAGCGTAAAATAGCAGCTTAATGCTCGATTCGTTAGTGTAGAAAACCGGAGACCCTTTTTACTGGAAATGAGGCATTCCATCTTAGTAATCACGGCTGACAACGCATCTGCATTTTATTCGCAAAGAAGGATAGATGCAAATGTCTATGGGCCACAGCAACCACTTACCATCAGGTGGACTGTGTGCTCGCTTGTCACCCTTATCGTATAAAAAAAATTAAAGGAGGTTGTACAATTTTTTTTATTTTACGACTTCTTTACAACTTATTCTTATTTTTTATTCTTACTGTATATATTTAATTACTAGAAATGTAATACTTTAAATCAAAAACCGACCAATTTTTAACACGATACTAAAAGTAGTAATAATTTATTTATGATGTTGTCAACCACCCAATTCGTACAGCAATCGAAGTGGCGTATGTAAAACGAAGCTTCTACAAGACACCCCACTTATTTCCCTGGTGTGCACACTGTTGGTCATCGACGGCATGATCGTGACTCTTTGGGCCATCCTGGACCCAATGGAGAGGCATTTGAAGAACCTGACCATTGAGATCAGCGCGACGGATCGCAGCGTGGAGTACCAACCACCTACTGGAATGCATCGTTTCCAGTAATGAGGGTATCCGGTTCTCTACACGCAACTTACGAAACACATCAGCATTAAGCTGCTATTTTACGTTGGTATTCTATGAGAGCGCGGTCCTTCCCCGGTCGAGTCGACCCATTCGAGCTACAACTGCACTATTGATATAGCTGTAGCATGGATCTACAACGTATAAATATATATTCCCATCTCTGGGCAGGGGCTCCCCAGTGCCAGCTCCTTCCACTTGACTGCATCCAGCGCAGAGCGGCTCGAATCGCCGACTACTGAGTTCTTTCCGATCGGCTCGACTCATTGGCGCTGCGAAGAGATGTTGCATCTCTTTGCATTTTCTTTCGCATTTACCACGGGGAGTGCTTGAGGAATTGTTCGGATTAATCGCACATCGCGGCAGAACTCCCGATACCATCCACACCATTTGGCTACCTAAGTTCGATACCTGCCGGCATCGATGATATTGTTCTTCTTCCTGCCCTTATCTCAAGTTAGTTGGGTCCGGATTAGCATATCTTCCTCTTGCATTCTCCTCTATACTAGCCGTCATCTCTTCACTCACTCCTTTCTTACTCATATCATCCCTAATACGGTCTATAATCCATCTTTTCTTGGGCGTCCCTCTGCTCTTAAATCCATACACTCATAGCCAGGTACTGCAACTTAACTGCAATTTTAAGCACCGCTTTACCACTAGCTCGTCGGTGAAGAAAAACGTTGTAAGGAGACTTTCTGTACGAGAAATTAAAATAAAATATTTCGGTGACATGTGAACTCCGTCAATCAAAATTCATTGTGCAGTGTGGCGGACACTTCCTTTCCCTAAAACCCTCTCAGTAATGAGTGTAGGCCTGTGTCCAGCAGTAGTGCGTATATAGGCTCGTATATAGCCATAACTTTACTAACTTTGTACATGGTAGATCCATGCTGCAGCTATATTAATTGTATAGTTGTAGCACGAATGGGTCGGCTCGACCGCGGAAGGACCACGTTCTCACAGAATACCAGCGTAAAATAGCAGCTTAATGCTCGATTCGTTAGTGTAGAAAACCGGAGACCCTTTTTACTGGAAATGAGGCATTCCATCTTAGTAATCACGGCTGACAACGCATCTGCATTTTATTCGCAAAGAAGGATAGATGCAAATGTCTATGGGCCACAGCAACCACTTACCATCAGGTGGACTGTGTGCTCGCTTGTCACCCTTATCGTATAAAAAAAATTAAAGGAGGTTGTACAATTTTTTTTATTTTACGACTTCTTTACAACTTATTCTTATTTTTTATTCTTACTGTATATATTTAATTACTAGAAATGTAATACTTTAAATCAAAAACCGACCAATTTTTAACACGATACTAAAAGTAGTAATAATTTATTTATGATGTTGTCAACCACCCAATTCGTACAGCAATCGAAGTGGCGTATGTAAAACGAAGCTTCTACAAGACACCCCACTTATTTCCCTGGTGTGCGCACTGTTGGTCATCGACGGCATGATCGTGACTCTTTGGGCCATCCTGGACCCAATGGAGAGGCATTTGAAGAACCTGACCATTGAGATCAGCGCGACGGATCGCAGCGTGGAGTACCAACCACAGGTAGCTTTTGATTTTATATCTATCATCATTACTGTCGGTCAAAGTAGGTGGTTTAGACATGTATCAGAAATCCCGCTTTTACGTTGCTAAATAACAGATCTTGATTTTTTAGATTTTGCAATCATTAACGGTGTCTTTAGGCACCTTTTTTTACATGGGAAAATGCCTACGCATCCCCGCCTCGCGGGGGCAAGGACGGGTTATGTCGGACTCGTACCGACTAAAATCCCATAGTGTTCCACCTTCCCCGCATATTGGCAGGGCCACGGGAACGCTTTCGCACACATTAGCGGCCCCACCAACGCCGGCCGCCCCATGGCAGCCCCTTCTCGGAGAAGGACCTCTCCTCCCCATTCTCCTTTTCAGGCAAGGCGCCCCAGGAACACAAGGCACACCCCCCTCCACGGTCACCAACTCCACCTGCGTATCGGACCCCCTCGAGTCCGATATGCAGAGGCCATGGGGCCAGGAAAATCGAGCGATTAATAGCACCCGCTTTCCCAACCCCAGCGGCCGATCTGATCGGCCGGTCTGGCGGCCCTGTCAGAGTCGCAAAGGATAGGGCGAGTGGCGTATTGACATACCAACACTCCTCTTCCTCCGCGACTCCACCTCGACTGCAGCGGTAGGGGGAGAGGACACCTCTCTCACCGCAGCCCACCGACACACATCCGAAGTGGGCTCGCCGAGCCCACTCGGTGTGGCCACTTCGGTCCGACCCTACACCACGGGCCAGCCAAGGGGTTCCTCTTTGTTCACCGCGGGTGACCAAGCCACGGCTACTGAGCCCCCTCCCACCCTTCCCCCGCCACGACAAGGCGGGAACCCGTTCGGGTGAGGGTCTTTAGACACCTACAGCCGGCCAAACAAAAAGTAAGTAATATCCTCCAGACCGAATTTCGGTCACGGCGGCCATTCTTAACGAAAACGATCCATCTGTGTAGACAGGATTATATTGTCTTAGTGTATGAGCAAGCACAGGTTCACTCTCTTTTTTCTCACTTTCAAGTCCGATGGGATAGCAAACCAACATGACCTGAAAGCGCAGTACTAACGGCTTTTTGTGCTTTCCGAGGCACGGAGGTGAAACATTTCTTGACAGTAAAACTTAATAACTGATGTTATTGGTCCGACCCGGTATTCGAACCCGGGACCTCAGGATTAGTAGTCGCGTTTACGATCACTATAGTCTTTGCGTTATATCATGGTGCGGTTAACATCTTTGTCATCTATGTCTAGGAATGGAACAATGTTAATTCGATAAAAAAGGCGATTAACGATACAAACAGCATAGCAAAAATTATCGAATCGAATAGCTACCGATAAAAAAAAATTAAATTTCTTTATAAATACATTACAATGCATGTTTTAGTTACAGTTTAATACAAATTATGACATTATTAGTTACAAATTATTTTAGCATTTTAAGCTTATCAGAAGTGGTTAAAGGGAATATTAGTAATGTTTAATATCATTTATAGTATTTAAAAAATATATACTATGTAATAACTTGAAAATGAAAATCATCTTCTATTTTATGTTTTTTTTTTTTATAGGATAGAGTGACAAACGAAGACACAGTCCACCTGATGGTAAGTGGTTACTTTGACCCATAGACATCTACATCTATCCTCAATAAAGACTCAAGATGCAGATGCGTTGTCACCCGTGAGGACTAAGATGGAATGCCTCTTTGCCAGTAAAAAGGGTCTCCGGTTCTCTACACTCACCATACGAAACACATCAGCGTTAAGCTGCTATTTTACGCTGGTTTTCTGTGAGAGCGTGGTCCTTCCCCGGTCGAGCCGACCCATTCGTGCTACAACTATACTACTAATATAGCTGCAGGATGGCTCTCCAACGTATGTTTATTGCAACATATATCTTAACAATAAAACAAATAAAATGACTGCCAGTACCGGTGATTTTCAGTACGGCTTTGACTACACCTGCAGATTTTCAAGGTCCGAATGCTAGCGCCTTTCGCTATATATGTGTATTAGTGTTGCCAGGTCCAGTGGGTCAAATATCGGGACGAAAGGTAAAAATAATCGAGAATTTGGTTTACAAATGTAATAAAATAAAAAAGCACATTTTTGTAGCCATTTTGACCGCCATCAGTTATACTAAAGTCTTTTTGATACAATGCGCAATGTTCAATTTATTTTTTGGGACTGAGCTAATGAAAGAATAATTTACCATTCGAACATCGGCAAAACTGTATATTCGTCTATGGTACGTTTTTCTTTTTCGACAAATCAGAACTTTTTGAACGATTAGTTATCGTTGCAGACTCTGAATTTTCTGATTGACTAATTTAAATGTTATTCTGAAAAAAAAAGTAATAAATCTTATGAACTCACAACGCATGCACTTCAAACTTTTTGATTGATTTTATTTAGGCACTTGACACTAGATACGTGAAGAAATTTACTAGTGAAAGAACTAACTTACAAGACTTTTATATTTTACTAAATGTACTTATCTAAACCGTAACATGTTAAGTTAGGTACTGTACTTTACTGTACTGTACTGTACATTACTAGAAAAATAATTAAATAATAAATAATGATCGAATTGACGACGTCGATACATGGCGTGGCGTGGCGGGTGACATCATTTGACAAGAGAGAAAACGAAACAACATGAATGGTATCTCGCCAACACAATACGCGTAAAGTTAAAACTTTGATGTTGACTATTTAGTCCGAGTTTGGTGATAAAATATGAAATGTCAAAGCTAAAATATTTAATCATTGTAGTAACGGCTTACAGAGGTATTCATTTTTGCTGCAGATCAAAACATCGAGATATTTGGTATCCCGATCAAGGGTGAATCGGGACGTGTTAGGGACAAATACGCGCAAATAGGGACACCTGGCAACACTAATGTGTATAATCTATGCTAGTGCCTAGCACTTTGTATGAAGTACCTATCGGCCATTTTATAATTTACAATTGAGTTTATATTGCTTTCACTTTCGAATATTGATTTTATTGTTGTGTCTTGATAAGTTAATTTTTGCACTTGTTGAGTTTATTTCTTTAAAATTCTAAAACTAACAAAAGAAAATTGTTAAGGCGAGTCAAGCGGGGGCGTTAGTCATTCGTCTTCGAAATTACTTAATCGAGAACAACAAAATGGCGGCATAAATATAAAGTAAAGTAAAATTGCAGCCTATTTACGTCCCACTGCTGGAAATGTCCGCCGCGCTGCCCCAAGTTGGCGAACTTCATATGTCTTCGAAATATTTTTTCTTATTTCTCAGACATGCAGGTTTCCTCACGATGTTTTCCTTCACCGCCGAGCAAGTGGTAAATCAACACTTAAAATTGCAATTAACACTTTCATTGGTGCCGGCGTGGATCGAACCCGGGTTGCTCGAGTACCTGTGAAGCTTACAGCGAGCGCTAACCATCTGAGCTACCACGGCTCTAGGGATAAATATAAAGTTATTTAATTCCTTTTTTTATTTTACCTCTTTCTCTATTTATTTATTTGTTTATTGAAGTACATGCATTGTAAGCTACTTAATTTTGTATGCATGAATATGACGGTCTCGCACCATACATACCTAAAATAGAATTGTCTTACTTATTTTTTGCGATTATGGGGCACATCGTACTTATTTAAAAAAAATACCGATAGTAAGCATAGTACGTAACTGCGCACACAAGTGAAATAAATTAAACTTTTATAATTTTATTAGTAAAAAACTACATTAGGTGAGATTTTTGAAGTTAATGTTAATTTAATAGCCTTATCAGAATAGATAAAATTATACAAAGAATTTCAGTGTTGTGTTATTTTCTCATAGTTAAAAACTATGTCGTATCTCGCAAACGCATGCAAGTTACGTTCTATTGACCTGTCAACTTGTCACCCGCACCATGCTATAACGCAATGATTACAGACCACTATAGACTAATTCAATCTAGTCCAGTTCAATCCCCAGAAGACACAAGTTTGCGCGTTTACCTCTAAAAAGAACCCCTTTGTCGTATCTCCTCAGTTTCAAGGCACTCCCCTTGCTGCCTCAGCCAGTATCGGAATCCTTGGCGTCGGCATATCGAATAGCATGCAGTTTCGTGGTCACTTGGAAGGGAAGGCCAAATTGGCCTCTAAAAAGCTTGGCGTGCTCAGCAGAGCGAGACAGTATTTCATGCCGGCACATCGCTTGCAACTTTACAAAGCGCAAGTTCGGCCCCACATGGAATACTGTTATCATCTCTGGGCCGGGGCACCCCAGTGCCAGCTCCTTCCACTTGACCGCATCCAGCGCAGAGCGATTCGAATCGTCGACGACAGAGTTCTTTCCGATCGGCTCGATACACTGGCACTGCGTAGAGATGTTGCATCTCTTTGCGTATTTTATCGCATCTATCACGAGGAGTGCTCTGAGGAATTGTTCGGAGTAATTCCAGCCTCTCAATTTCACCATCGCACGTCGCGACAAAACTCGCGTTACCATCCATACCATCTGGATGATTGGCGGTCCACCACTGTGCGATTTAGAAGAAGTTTTCTCCTTCGCACAACTTCTTTGTGGAATCAATTACCACCAGCGAATTTTCCGAACCGATACGACTTAGGAACCTTCAAGAAAAGAGCTTACACCTTTCTAAAAGGCCGGCAACGCATCTGCAATTCCCCTGGTGTTGTGGTTGTTCATGGGCGGCGGTAGTCACTTACCATCAGGTGAGCCGCATGCTCGCTTGCCCCCTATTCTATAAAAAAAAAATAGGTCGTCATAAAATGTTATTACATTTTTGTTCGCAACTACCAGCGCCATCTAGTGACGGATAGCTGTCATCGGATTGAATCAATTATATCTTGTGCATAAGGCCGTAATTCGGTATGGAGGACATTAAAAACATTTTTTAAGAAGTCAGTTTTTAATTTATTTAAAACTAGTCACCAGTTAAGACAATATCTGGATAATATATCTAACGGCACTAATAACGATTGATCGTAGCTCGAACTTGTTTTACGATTCAAATTGTGCAAAAGTAAATCTTTAAAAACAGAATCGAAATAAAGAGAGATTAAAAACTTAATCGGATTCGAAATCAATTCAGAAGTAAACTTGATTTCTTGCGAATTCGGCTTTTTCTTTCTATTGTTAACGGCTGGTGTTTACCCGGATTGTTAGAGTTGTACATATCAAACGATCCCTTTCAGATAGAAGTTTGCAAATCTCAAAACACAACGGGTTGGCTGTGCGCGCTGTACGCGTACAAAGGTCTCCTGCTCATCGTTGGCGTCTACATGGCCTGGGAGACCAGGAACGTCAAGATATCCGCCCTCAACGACTCCAAGTACATTGGCATCAGCGTTTACTCGGTCGTCATAACCAGCACTAGTGTAGTCGTCATCGGGACTATAATATCCGAGAGGGCGACCCTCGCGTACATCACTATAACCAGTTTAATATTGACAACGACTACGTCAACACTATGCCTGTTGTTTCTGCCGAAAATTATTGCAATTAGAAACAAATGTAAGTATATCAAAGCTTACCTTGGAATAAAACTAATTTTACAGATTATATGGCGTTTAATTTTAATTACGAATTTGATCATTTTATACGTGGTAGAGCCACGCTGCTATACTATACTACTAATATAGCTATATTAGTAGTATAGTTGTAGCACGAATGGGTCGGCTCGACCGGGGAAGGACCACGCTTTCACAGAATACCAGCGTAAAATAGCAGCTTAACACTGCGGTATTTCGTATAGTGAGTGTAGAGAACCAGGTACCCTTTTTACTGGAAAAGAGGCTTTCCTCACGGTTGACAACGCATCTGCATTTTGATTCGAAAAAGAGGATAGATGTCTATGGGCCACAGCAACCACTTACCATCAGGTGGACTGTGTGATCGTTTGTCACCCTATCCTATAAAAAAATAATTTAATATGCCACAGCCTTCGTTAACTATGACATCGCACGTCAAACACCTCCGTCCCCCACCCCACCTTGGGTGATGTTAAGCGCCCGAAACGTCGTGAAATAGAAAAGTTAAAATAAAACACGATAAATCCGTAAATTTATTTATCTTCCATGTGTAGTACTCGCGTAAATTTAAGAAATCATTAGGTATAGCTTACTTTCTATCAACTAGAGGCGTAATACCATTGGAATTTTTTTAATATTTCAAGTTACCGCTACCGTTACAGCCTAATAAAGTCCACTGCTGAAAACAGGACTCCCCCATAGATTGCCTCATAGGGGTGGATATTTGCCATAGTTGCCACGCTTGGCAAGCAGGTTAACCACAGTATTTTATTTTTAGTCGTTATTAGGAAAAGTCTGTTGCCCATCTCTTGATTTGTTTCCCTCTGTCGCCTCTTATGGCACTCACGGGATGATATGGGGCAGTGGATATTCTTACACCGCCACTACACGGTAAGAATGTGTTCATTATTTAAATAAAATACTTAATTATCAAAAAAATTGATTGTAGGGTGTTTTTATTTGTAATTAACTTCTTAGAGTAATTAGGAGCATGCATACATATGCGAGTAATGTCTCCGAGGTAAATTTATAAAAAAACACTTTAGTTTTTTTTATACTGGAATATAAAAGACAAGTAAAAAACCTTTTTTGTGCTGTGCGATGGGAGCTTAAGAGGATTCATCACTATTTTCGTCCCGTGAGTGTCGTGAGGGTAGCTTCGGAATAAGTCAAAAAGATCTTTCGATAGATGGCGGTATAACCATCTCGTTTGTGTTATATGGCTACCGAAGCTGGGTCAAAGGTAAGACAATTCATATTAAAGTTGGAGAAATTTACTTTGCCAATATCCGCTCAATAAAATAAAATGACGTGTCTTACCTAGTATGAAGAGCACCTCCCGCCCTCCCTCAACTGCGTGCACTATCCACGTTACCACTAATCTCAGCACCACTACACTAGGAAAGACACAACACCGACGACAATACAACACGTGTTCGGCCTCTACACGAGGCATCTTTAGGTGTAGTCGGGTGGAGTCTACAGATAAAGCACGCAATTGAGGGAGGGCGGGAGGTGGTCTTCAAACTAGGTAAGACACATCCTTTTATTTTATTGGGCGGATATTGGCAAAGTAAATTTTTCCAACTTTAATATAATGGATTTCCGCAAAGTAACGCCTCATTCTATTAAGTAAGACAAGTCTTCATTGTTACTATAGAAATGTATATTTTCATCCATCCGTTTATTTTAACTAGATTTGAGAAGAATGCTGCCAGTCTGAAAACTTTCCCGTACTATAAACTATTTTTTTAATTATTTTGCTTACAATTTGAATGACTGTTAGCCATATTGAAATACATATATATATTAGCTGACCAGGCAGACGTTGTTCTTTATAACGACCCTTCCTATAAAAATTCTTAAATTCGCAATAAAAAATTTTGAGGGTAATTTATCGGGATAAAAACTATCTTATCTCTCAAGTTGGCCCAAAATGCACACAGTGTGCAAAATTTCATTGAAATCAGTTCAGTAGTTCCATCGCGAACAAACAACGTGACATAAATATATATACATATCATCCCGTGGGTGTCGTAAGAGGCGACAGAGGGAAACAATGAGGCAATTTAAGGAGGAAGTCTATATTTAGAAGTAGACTTTAATAAACTGTAACAATAACGGTAACGAACACATTCAAAATACACAAAATGAAATCTGTATTTAAAAAGTATGTATTTTAGCTGAAGATGATCCGGTAATACAAAGCATGGGGCTGAGGCTAGAATGTAAAACTAGAAGGTTCATCACCGACGAAACCCAAGAGTTGCAGTTCAGAATCGAAATACAGAACAAAGTGTACAAGAGAGAAGTAGCTGCCCTCGACAAGGAAATTGGCAGGCTGGAAAAACTGCTAGCGGAGCCTTTGGAATCAACCAGCAGTTCTAATGTTTCTATTGTACTCCAAAAACGGGTATGTCTAAATACTTTTTCTTTTATCATAATCATCAGCCGTGGTAGTTCACAGTACACGAGAACTTTTGTTGCAATTGCAAAAACAAATACAAATAAATGAATTACTAGCGTCTGTTAAAATGAAGTGTCATTTATGCCTCGGCCACACACATCGCGATAGAATTATCGCGATGAAATTTCGTCTTCGGCCTAGCGGGAAAGTGCCTGGCACGCTGCGCGTTGTAAATTTTATCGCGCTAAGCACACGCTAAAAACAAAATGGACGCCACGGTCGCTCTGTATTATATGGCAGCGAATAATTTTTTTTTTTATTATTGTGTCAATTTTTAAAAATATGAAAAATATATAAATAATATCGGCTCGGACTCGTAATTACTTATAAATACCATTTTTTTTTTCATTACACCAATCCATGTCGGAAATAAGTCGCAAACTCTAATTTACTTTGACACATCCGCTACGCCCGATGTCTGTAGGCAGAGACTGGCACAAGCGAAGTCCATCGCGATAAAACCCTTTGAAGTGCGATAATTTACCGACAGCGAAGCGATGTGCTTGAAACTTCGCACGAAGTGACCAAGTATTCACGAAAGGCCGGCCACATACGTTGCGATAACGCGAATATTCGCGCTAGCGCGATGTGTGTGGCCGCGGCATTACAATAAAATAATATTTCTTTCATGGCAAGATAAGAAAAGTGCGAGTGAGATGGTTATTATTCCATGGTGCTTCCTTATAGCCACCAAGGCCGTCTACTCTACGTCAGAAAGGGTCACATTTTTTGTCGCCTAGCCCCCATCCGCCAAATCCTTACCATCCGATAAGAGACTTCGTTCCAAAAAATAATGATGTAGTTGTTCACTCTCACAATTTAGGTAAAGAAAGCTAAAGCATAAACAATGATTTTGACGGCTCCGTGGCGCAGTGGCTTAGCAATGAGTTGTTGCGCTGGGGGCCGCGGGTTCGAATCCCGCATGGATCAAGTATTTGTAAGGCCTACAAATAATTGTTCCGGGTCTGGATGTTTGTCCTCCTGCAATTTATGTTTATAAACTGCCTCCACGACACAGGAGAAAATCCTAGTGTGGTAACGTTTTTTTTTTTTAAATAAATAAAATCAAATCAATAAACTTTTAAATAAGTTAAGTCTTATTTATTTTAAATAATAAATCTTATTTATTTAATATAATAAATTATTTTTTTAAATAAATAAGACTATGGGCAGAGAGTCTTCTTTCAGGATATTATCAAAGTAACTTAACATGAAATTTTAATGAATAACAAATGTGAGATATTGTATTTATAGAACTATTATGATGTGTGTGTGTACAGTATTATATCTACGTGTATTATATCAGAGGGATTATAAAATTAAATAATAATAATTAATGAAATAATGCTATTAATTATTAAGTATGCCGCAATGATAAATGTATTATATGACCGTGTAATGGCGGTGTAGAAACAGGAAATGTGCAGCGGCACTCACTCCCTGATCGCAATTTTAGAAATTACAAAACACTGCGGCTGAAATTTAAAAAAAAATTGCAAGCGTGGTATTTATGTAAAATCCCACTGTGAAGCAATCTATTGTGGAGGCCTATGCTAACCAGTGGACTTTTATAGACTGTAATGGATAGATGGAATGATTGTGATATAATGAAAAATGCAAATAAAAAAAAATCATAGAAATCGGTTCAACTATACGTGGTAGATTTTATACGTGCTAGAGCCATGCTGCAGCTATATTATTGGTATAGTTGCTACACGAATGGGTCGGCTCGACCTGGGAAGGACCACACTGTCACAGAATACCAGCGTAAAATAGCAGCTTAACACTGTTTTGTTTCGTATGGTGAGCGTAGAGTACTGGGTACCCTTTTGTAGGTATCTTTGGTAGATGTCTATACTGGGCCACAGCAACCACTTACCATCAGGTGGACTGTGTGCTCGTTTGCCACCCATATCCTATAAAAAAAAACCTAGAAAAAAGTTACGAGGTAACACACATAAAAATACAGTCGAATTGAGTACCTCCTCCTTTTTGAAGTCGGTTGAAAAGAGTTAATGTTATCGAATAGAATAGAATAGAATAGAATAGAATAGAATAGAATAGAATAGAATGATTTTTATTCAATATGGATTATTACATAATACTTATTGAAAGTCATTATTTTATTTACCACTGGTTCGGAAAATACCTCTGTCCTGGGAAGAACCAGCAAGAAACCCAGCGGGACTTTTTTTTTTAAACATAATTTCACTTAACAATAATTTTGATTATACAATTTTAAATGAATTTTCATAGAACCAGCATGGTGGCGATCACCTTATTCCCAGGGGTTATTTTCATTCATGTATTCCTTGATATTATAATAACCCTTTTTTTTTTCGCTACATATAATGCATTAGTACCTAGAATAATAATACCAGCAATAAAAAAAGCCTGATCCATGCCCGGAACAATTGTCTGTAGGCTATACAGACACTTGTTCTGTGCGAGACACGGACCCGCACCTATGAAACGCCACAAGCAAACCCTGACCACTACGCTACCAAGTTGTCAAAAATGCTTATCTTAACTAAGCCTTCTCACATTTTCAGACGGAACTAAACACAGTAGATGAAGAAAGCAGTCGTCCCGATAATCTTGACAAAAGAACCCCAAGTATCAGTGGAGGACTGCCCATGCTGCTACTATCTGTCTTACCTCCAGTGATCCCTCGAGCAAGCTGGCCTTCCGCAGAAGCATACCGAGGCAGAAACTCTGTCAGCTTTAGCTCCCAACCAAAACTCAACTATAGGAAATCCCAACCAGCAATAGATTTATACAATCTCTGTCTAAACAAACGAGAGGAAAACCAAGGCTTCCTTAGCAGATTGAAGAGCTTCTTCGGTAGTAGACCGTCCAGTAGAAAAGCGTCGACTATGTCCATAGCCGACCCAACTGGTCAGAGCATTGCTGCCGCTTTGAAGTTGCACGTTGGCATGATCGCTGGACTCGTGCCAGGGAATAGAAAGCACTCAATGGTTTTGTCGTGTAATACACTGAACGTGCCACAGCCAGAGTTGAAGTTGCGCAGGGAATCATACGCAAAGAGCGGTCCCATCATTCGAATAATAGACGACGAGCCCTCGTGCTCAAGATATTCTTCCGAAAGGAGTGTCTCCTCTGGCACGCAGAAATACGTAGCTGAGCCAGAGACCAAGGTAAACTTCATGCTACCTAACACGCATAAAAAGTCAATGTCTCATCAGAACTCCTGTGAAAGGATAAAGGGGTCGCCACGGTTCCCTCACAGGATAGCCCCAGCCACGACTAGCTTGACAACGTTGGACAGCAGACGGAAAACAAGCGCTGACAGCGTCTTCCATATCTCTGAAGGTATATTTGCTGAACACCGACGGTACAGTCATCAGAATGTTTACAACCAGGAGTCCAAAAGTAAGACGACTTTAGAAAGCAGATGGAATTCCACAGAGGATTCACGACCAGGTCCTTCTGGTGCTTAGATATTTAGGAAATTATCGAGATTCGACATTTGTGCCATATTTGTAATCAATACGCCAAATAGAATTAAAATTTTAGAGCATGAAAACTATTTTATGACTTTCCTATTTTACTTTGTGTGAGAATAATAATAAGACACTAGGTACTAAATGTGTATGGCCTAGAAATAACTAAAAGTTATTATATTAGCTTATATAAGCATGAGTCAGACCAAGTGCTAATGCGCAGGAACCTTGTCATAATTAATTTCGATGACAGTTGTGAAAGTAGGGTCGGCAAAATAATCTTAAAATTATTGGGGTTTTTTCCTGAATCATTACTTTTTATTATTTGAAGAAAAAATCTATATATGTATATAGGCCATTTCATTCCATTCCATACTGTGTTAGTTCCCGACCGTACTAAATGATGTCATTCCCACTTAGGTCTCACAAAATATTTACGCTTAGCATTTGGCCCGGCCCTTAAATATGTATTAAGTAGATAAAATTATTATGTAGATTTAGTTTACAATTTACAAAACTATAATCTAAATGAATCAAAAAAGGTATCATTTTATAAGAACTATATTTCAGCTACAATGTAAACCATGATTTAAAAATCAATTTCAAACCTAAATCATTAAAACATGCCTATCTAAACAACCGATTTTCGGTATTTACAGAGGGCTGTGAATCATGAAAACATAAAAATAACAACACAGTGTAAATACTAAAACGATCCATGAGTGGATTGAAATTGCTTTTCGTTCTTTTTTCTTTTCGAGGACCCTAATCGACCAAAAAAAAAAAACGATTTAATACTTCTAACGTGGATATTTTTGATCTGTAGAAATATTATGTAAATATTTTTGGACTTAGTATTTACTCATCTAATTATTAATGAACGATGAAGCAAACCAAATTTTATCATTAAATCCTTCTTCGTTTAAAACGAATCAACATTCATTAGAAATTATTCTATGAGGATGGAATGTCTAATATCTGCTTTAACCAATTCAAATCTGTAAAAATAATAACTTCGCAGTAGGAAAATGGTAGGAACTAGAGAGTAAAAAAATTTGAATGCGTAAATACCATAGCGTCCAACTTTTAGAGACTTGTATACCTATGTATCAAAGTCTAAACTTTGAAAAATTGAACTAGTTACAAAATGTTCCTACTGAGAAGTTAAAATTTTTAAAGCATTTAAAAGTAAATAGCTCATAACAGGTATTTTTTATGTATACGTACGTATTCCAAAGAGCATATTTCTATCTAACATCCTAACATAATAGAAATAAAGTCCGTGAGTGATTCCGAATTATCCTTCTTGCTCTTTTTAATTTTTTGTTACAAGCATTATTTTTTCATTTAACGCATAGCTATAAATATATAGTCCGTACGGATAAAGAATGGAATTTTGAAATGGCGGCTCATCGACCCTGTACCGTCAGCATGCACAGTACTAATGGCGAAAAACCGCTAATAACGGTATATCGTTATAACATTATATTATTCGGTTAATTGGTAAATTTTCTATTAATGGGGAAATATTTGAAAAGAATTGTATTCGCTAGTAGGTACTTTAATTTTAAAATAAGTTTAATAACTAGCGACCCACTCTGGGGGTCCCTGGATGGGATCTAATTGACGACTTAAGATAATTCTATTTTAATAAAATCTCTAAATTTAGACTAGATCACTCCTATACCAGGAGTAATTTGTTATCATTGATTTCAATGATAAGTTTGACTGAAGTTATAGAATGTACGAAAAACGCATATCGCAACGTATTTTTGCAGTCAGATGTGAGTATAAATAGCGACAGTGTGCGAGCGAGAGGTGAATAGAGGCGACGCCATTTTCAATCCCATTCTTTAACCGCACAGGTAGTAGATATTTAAATTTTTATTAGAAAGTAATCTTAGTATTATATGGTGAAAAAAGGCCATATCAAAACGGGGTATATAAGAACGTCAAGTATTTTAAAGCAATAATATTCTATATAAAATTAATATAGGTGTGTATTACTTAGCAGTTTGGAGAAATATTTTATTTTAAAGTATTTTTAGACAATGTTAACATTGTGTTTCTGTCTTTTAGTTAAGGTTGGTATGTAATTAGTCTGCAATAATTATAAAAAAAATAATTAACAATAAAAAATAGATTGTCAAGTGTGTATATTTGTGATTAAATTTATAGAAGACGCTTGTTTTTTTTATACTTCGACCTAAGTGTATCAAATCAGTACCAACAAATCTTTTTTGTGCCGTATATGACGGTCGAAGTGGTGGACGGACGGGACGGTGGCTTAAGAATATTGTCCCATCCATTTCGTTTCATGAGTCGAGTAAAGTCGTAAGTGACGTCTATGTGATAAACAATTAGTTGACGTTACACTCGTGGTGGCTGGCAGGTGAGATCGCTGACGCGATGACTCCGTCACGTCGTGGGAAATAGCAGGACCGGAAGGCGTAGTAAGATCTTCAAATAATTTTTGTTGGTGAGTTAGATCCTAAGATAAATCTAAGTTATCTGATCTATTTATTTAAGATTAACTTTTTAATCATGAAGAGTGAATTTTTATAGAGTTAAGGGTGACAAACGACAACTATACAGCTATGCATAACGACTACTATGCATAACGGCCTTATTAAGAATCAAAATGTAGATGCATTGACACCTCTAAGAACTTATGATGGAAAGCCTCGTTATCAGTCAAAAGGGTAGGCTCCGGGCCTTGTCTTTCATCATACGAAAAGATAGGCCCCGGGCGGCAATAAACTAGATAAACTATGCTAGCTTATTGCCGCCCTGGGCCTCTAGTGCAAAAAGGCCTCTCCCATAGCATCTTGTAAATATAAATTTGTTCTTCGATGTACCTATACTATCTTTTTTACCAGCCAGAGCCATGCTGTAGCTATATTAGCAGTATAGTTGTAGCACGAATGGGTCAGCTCGACCGGGGAAGGACTACGCTCTCACAGAAAATCAGCGTAAAATAGCAAAATCCCTCTATAAGGCAGTCTATGGCATAACCTTGTGTGCGCGTTAGGTAGAGCTGTCTGATTCATTCCCAAAATGCGGCTACGCTAGCCCCCTACCCCCTCCCACTCCCCTCTGTTACTTAACAACATTGCGGGTTACTTAGGCTCAAGGTTATTGAAATATAATCAACTTACGTAAATAAAAAAATAACTCCAGTAATTTTACTTTAATAAGAAATTACTAAATCTAAGTATTCTACACTTAAATAAAATTCCCGCAACATTTACTTCATTATATGCTTGCTGCGGTCATCCTAGCGATCCTATCTTCAATCTGTCTTCGAATGTTTGCATTAACGTTTGGTAAGTCCACGTTCCTTCTGACAGATGTCTCTATCTTCTGCACCAGCTGTATCTCCCGCGGCCATGCCACAAAGTTGGTGACGGCGCAATCTTGTGCCGAACCGATACGGCCGGTTCTACCGCAACGGTGTATATAGTCGGCGGTGTAAAGGGGGAAGTCGTAGTTTATAATGTGACGAGTCTGAAAAACGAACATACTCTTTCATATTAGGAGCTTAACGTTTGAGATTGAAAAGGTTGACAAATATGCGCGTCTGTCTGCGAAAAAAAAATTTCATCGTGACTTTCATAGTAAAAGTAAAAAATTACTTTGTAAAAATTATTGTTTTGCCACGTTTTTTTTTTATATCGCTTTTGTGTATGTCTGTTCGGATCCAATTTAGTAATTTATTTTAAACATTGTTTCAATTGAATTATTAGAATAACAATTATAATCTATTTCAATGATATACAATATTAAAAACTAATAAAAAAAATACTAAGACTAGTAACTTAATTATCATACAGTACTATTTCCCGCGGTATCTGGCTGCTTTTCCCCGCTGAATGGCTATACTTAGCCTTTGAGCGAGAACAGAACCAGCCCTCTTATGACCAGCCACGGATAGCGTTCCTTTAGGAACACCGCACGTAGACCCCACGGACCGATAGTCTCTACAGCAAATGGCACAAATATGTAGTCATCTCTCAGAGACTCATACTTGCGCCACTTAGTTCAGCTGCCTCTGATGACGCCCCGGCTCTAAACGAGGTACCCCTGAGATGAGAGGCCGCCAGCGTCTATACAAGTAGCATCCCATACTAGAGCTTTACCTCTCTCCCAAGAGACCAATGTCAAACCGTCGGATCTCCTGCCATCGTCTCTAAATATTCCACAAGGCTCTAAAACCGAGGGAACATCCATAGAGACAAGAGCCCTTCGGATGACATCGTTCAAAGAACCGTGCCGTGAAAACCTACCAGCACTTTTCTAACATGAAAGTCCGTGGAACGCAAACTTGTCGACGCTGCTACCACAGTGGCACTGATGGGGTTGACAAATCGCCGCTCCTAATCGGATACTTACAGCGCAGCGATGCGCAAGATTTCACCATCAAGAAATGTGCCGAGATTACTTGATGGTAACTAACTAACTTTTAAACAACTTTCCGGAGACCCTTTTTACTGGCAAAGAGGCATTCCAACTTAGTCCTCACGGGTGACAACGCATCTGCATCTTGAGTCTTTGGGTCTATGGGTCACAGTAACCACTTACCATCAGGTGGACTGTGTGCTCGTATGTCACCCGATCCTATAAAAAAAAACATACACAACACTCAGTGAATTTTGTGCGGGAAAAAGTCATATTTACATAACTTATAATTAAAAATTTTGTATATTCGACTTCAATATGCATTATTAAGAATAACTCAAAAACTATTGGTCAGACCTTGATCAAATTTATGTGGGAACACACGAAAAGCACCAGCTTTCACATGAAAAAAGAATCGTCAAAATCGGTTCACCCAGAAAAAAGTTATGAGGTAACACACATAAAAAAATAACATAGAGTCGCATTGAGTACTGTCTGCTTTTTGAAGTCCGTAGAAAATAGCGGCCGAAATGTTATTAAGTACCGTATACAACGCAAACTTCAGCTTTTGTAGCGTCAAAATATGTTACGGTAGGTAT